CAGAGATCAAAGTTCTCGGTTGCTTCATAAGCAACGTGGGCGTTCGGGCTGACCCAGACAAGGTCAAGGCCATAGCAGCATGGCCGACGCCCCGATCCCAGAAGGATCTTCGAAAGTGGTTGGGCTTGGCCAACTACCTTCACAAGTACAGCGCCGGGTACGCGGGATTTGCTAAGCCCTTGTCGAGTCTCCTTCAGAAGGACGTCGACTGGCGCTGGGAGCAAGAGCACCAAAATGCTTTTGACAGCATCAAGGCCAGTCTCCAAGAGGTCCCTGTCCTGGCCCTGCCGGACGAGACGAAGCCGTTTAGCGTCGTCTGCGATGCCTCCGATTACGCCATCGGATCTGCATTGCTGCAGGCCGACACGGCTGGACACGAACGAGTCATCTCGTTCCAGTCCAGGCAGCTCAAAGCCGCCGAGCGGAACTACCCTGTCCATGACAAGGAGCTCCTGGCAATGAAATATGCCCTTGTGAAGTTCCGTGTTCACCTTCTGGGCTCTAGGCTCTTTGTGATCTACACAGACCACGCGTCCTTGAGGACGGCGACTAACTCGTCTCACCTCTCCCAAAGGATGGCGAGGTGGTTGTCCTTCTTCGCGGAATACAACTTCCGCGTCGAATACAAGCCGGGCAAGCTCAACGTGCTTGCGGACGCCCTCTCTAGGCGTCCCGACTATGAGTTGGCCCACATCACGCGGGTGACAACGGATCTATATGATCGGATACGCATGGCGTATCGGGACGATGAGGCTGTCGCGCCTATCGTCAAGTTCCTTAAGGCCGGAACGAGCGCGAAGTCCGACTGGCTCTCGTCGCGACAGCGCTCACGGCTCCACCGATATGAGTTGAAGGAGGGCCTCCTCTATTATCGGGTGGAGCCCACTGATCCTCCACGGGTGGTCGTACCCAACGACGAGGATCTGAAGTTCGACATCCTCGCGGAGGCGCATGACGCGCCCTCCAGCGGCCACTTGGGCCGCGAGAAGACCTTTCTGTCGGTCTCTCAGTCCTTCTGGTGGACCCACATGTACAAGTGGGTCGCCCGGTACGTCAAGACATGTGAAACATGTCAGCGGGTTAAACCCGCAGGGCACTCTTCGGCTCCACTACAGAGCCTGCCCGTACCGGCTGATTGTTGGAAGTCGATGAGTCTTGACTTCATCTTTGGGCTTCCCGCCGACGGACACGGCAACACCGGAATTTTGGTGTTCGTGTGTCGGCTGAGCAAGATGGTACATCTTGCTCCAGTTCCCGTCACTGTGACGGGCGAACAAACCGCAAGGTTGTTCGTCGATGGCGTGTTCCGCTATCACGGTCTCCCGGAGACGATTGTCTCGGACCGAGACCCGCGGTTCACTGCTGCGTTTTGGAAAACGCTGTTCCCTTTACTGGGAACTCGTCTGCAGATGTCCACTGCGGATCATCCGCAGACAGACGGCCAAACAGAGCGCGTCAATCGAGTGCTCGAGAACACTCTGCGCAGTGTGCGCGGCAGCGCCACGTACGTGGTCGACGCAGCTTCCAATTGTTGAGTTTGCGCTTAACAACGCGGTGCACGCGTCCACGGGGTTCACGCCGTTCTACTTGAACGGCTTCCGCCACCCCAGAGTGCCTCTCACTCTTCGAGGAGACACTGACTCCTCTATTCTAAGTGGGGGAGAGGCTCGGAAAGGCCCTTTCCTCCCAGGTCTCGGATGTGAGACCAGTTTTGCTGCGGAAACAGGTGGAATCCTTTTATGGATACCAAGCTGAACATTGTCAGCAGGGTCCGCGATGCCATGGCAGCGGCCCAAGATAAACAAAAGGAGTACTCAGACAAACAAGGAAGAGGAAACTTAAGTATATTTGAGGTTGTGGACTTAGTGTTGCTAGACACGAGGAACCTACCTCTTGACACTGTTAGCTCTGTCGGCAGCAACAAACTGAAGCACCGCTTCATCGGACCTTTTGCAGTCCTGGCCAGACATGGTGCGTCGTACACCATCGACCTTCCAAAGTCAATGACGACGCACCCGACGTTCTATGTCGGACGTCTTAAGCGGTACTTTGACCCGCAGGGGGTTGCTGACTCGCAGTCCCCCCTTGACCCAGGTCCTCGAAGCGAGGGCCAGTCACAGTCGTCGACGAGGGCGTCGGAGCAGGCACCCATACCTCGGTCGGGACGGCAAGGCTGCGGTCAAGACCGTACGCCGGAGGGGCTCCATACGAACGGATCCCGGCGCCATACGCCGAGTACGCTGAGTACGCCGGGTACGCACCATACGCGTACGTCTGGGAGTGTGCCGCAGGCGGCTCCGGACGTGGCAACAAAGCCTCGATCCGTCGGATCATTCGAAAGGCCTCGTCCAGATCGGACGAAGAGGCCCGGCGATCCACCCGCAGGTGCAGGCTCGCGACCTCTCGCTCCACCAGGTCCAGGCGACCCGCAAGACGAGCGAGCTCGCCCTGATTCCCGGCCTGGGCGGCAGCATTACCGCCAGTCCCAAGGCCAAGTGCAATCTCAAGCACGAGGACACGTTGACGGAGGCGGTCAACCTCAGAGTCCTGCGTCGGACCCGCAGTCGGAGCACTCGGACGAGAGTGGCTCTCGGGAGGCGCCGAGTACTCGTACTCGTACGAGGGCACCTCCGCCCCTGCTTGACCGGAATGGAGAAGTCCACTTCCACGTGGAGCGGATCCTCCAGGAGCAACGGTGTAGCGGAAAGCGACAGCTCCTCGTGAAGTGGAGGGGTTATGCCCACTCCGAGAACTCGTGGGAGCCGATTGAACGGCTCCTGATTGACTGCCCGAAGGCTGTCGCAATCTGGGAACAGAAGCGGCGGCAGCTTCATAAGTAGTCCGGGGCTTCTTGCCCGAACGGGGTACGGACGATGAATACATACCGTACCCGCGCTCATCGTGAGCGCTAGAAGCCGCGCGCTTCAGGATGTCCCTTGGTAGCATACGCTTGCTGATCAAGTGGGCAAACCTCACACGAAGATCACGCTGGTCCAGGATGTGGGACAGCTGCTGATCTTCATGGAGTTCCCGTAACTCCGTGGGTGAGTACTTGAGAGTCTCCGCCCACGCCCAGAACATGTCCTCACAAGAACTCCACGTGGGACAGTTCTCGGGCATAACCCAGGGGTATCCCCAAAGAGGATAGAGACCACCCCGGGTCTCGGGCCTTTTACGACAAGTCTTGAAGTCCTTCAGGGGAATGCGGTGAGGCGCGAGAAGCACACACCGAGCAGCCTCCAAGTTGTCGACGAACAACTCTTCTTTCTGAACAAGGGATCGTTCATAGATGCCCCTAGAAGTGTGGCCGCCCACAAGGCCACGAGGAGCGACGAGGACCTCTAAGAAAAGGTCAGCCCCAGAGCTCTCCTCGGGAGGCCAATACCCTCTTAAGCTGATAGCAGCTCCCTGGCTGACGGGTGCCGCCACCGAACCCCCACGCACACGCTGGGCAGCTTGAAATTCCTCCTGCTGCTGGTCGAGGTCATTCGAGACCTCCCGGGGCTCAACGATAGCACCCTCCTCTTCCTCTTCTTCCTCCTTCTCCTCCTCTTCATCCGAGGAGTCGAAGATACTCCGATAGGAGCGATGAGTCTCCTTCTCCTCGCGGAGTGGAGACTTAGAGGCGGTACGCTTCTTTGAGGGCTTGGCGCCTTCGGCTTTAGAGGCCTTAGCACGCGCAAGACCCTCGGCAAGCGAGAGACGTTTGCGAGGATTCTCTTCCTCATCGCCACCGGCTTTGGGAGCGCCCTTAGCCTTGACGACCGGACTCTCAGAGCGCACAGAGGTCCTGGGACTGTGATCACCGTGGTCACTAGCGGGCGACTGCACGCTGCCATCTTTGTGCTCACTGGGCACTGGGCTGTGTCCTTCCACAGAGCCCGCAGGAGCATCGTGAGTGCTCTCGGACTCGACATCGTCCTCACTGCCCAAGTTGAACTCCCGTTCCATGAACCGAGGGTTCGGACGATTGTCCGAAGATGAGGGCGACGGGCTGCGGCGCTTGCTAGCGCGCTTGTCCACAGCCGCGTCACCCGAGGAACCGATCGCCTCGGAGGCCACCTGAGTAGCCTCCTTGAGTGCAGAGCCTTTGCCGTGAGGCTTAGTGCTCTTGGCTTGCGCCTTACCGGCAGCAGCCTTGGAGCGTGTCTTAGCACCGCTCTTTGTAGTGCCACGAGGCATGATAACGGTCGAAGTGGGGACCTAGACGAAGAGCGCACAGGTTGCTGCTCGAGGCTCTAACTGTGAAGTGAGCCTCCGCCGCGCTCGCGCGGCCAAGTCGATGGTTTTCGACTTTGAGAATGAGAGTTCGTGACGAACACCTCTTCATTCTGATTGGTCGGTAAACCGAACCTAAGTGGGGGAGGATGTAACGGGGTACGTAGCCCTATGTGTACCCTGGCTACATGAAGTGTGACACTTCACACTTCAGGAGTATGACACTCATACTCCGGGATATTTGGTACAAGGTACCAAGGTCGTTCAAAGCCAACCATTGGTTAAATGACATTGCATTTCTAAAGGTAACTAATAGTTTGTATAAAACCCAAACTTAACCTACCTATAAATATACTCAGCTTACAATCTACCTTATTTAGGTTACTTCGCCCTCTTTAATTAAAGAGGGGACCTGTGAACTGCCGTTCACTGAGAGTTTGTATACTCTCGGAAGATAACTTCCTCTAGCACAAGGTGCTGTGTGCACACGATGGCTGCCATGAAGAGACCCAGAACATATAAAAAATCAGCTTGAAATGGGCTGAAGAGAATAAACGGCTTTACTATTCAATTTTTCACGCGTGCTCGATGCATAACATACAAAACGACACGGCCGGCCTCATGGAGGACATGGACGAGATTGGAGCGTTGATGATACGCAGTTGTGAGCGTGACAACAATATATAATTCATTTATTCGTGTATGCCACACACAAATGTAAGTCACACTAAAATATTTATTTTTTCAAGATCTGGCTGGCCAGTAGAAGGCTGATCGACAGTATGGGGGGCCACGAGCACCGCCGCAAGGATCACAAGAGCTCGCGCTCAGGCGCGTGGGAAGGTTTCGAGAAGCTCAAGAAGGCACTGGAGGGATTGGCCACTGCCAAGGGTGTGTCGCAGAGCCGTATTAGCGCCGTCGCCAAGTTGGCGGCGCATTACTCAAAGGTGCGGATGGATGTGCTGCGCGAAGGGAAATGCCGTGTTTTGACTTGGAGTCTGTATGATGTTCGTATAGTTTTACAAACACGTGGTGCACGACATCGAAGTGTTTCTGTGGAAGGCAGAGGTGGAGCATCGATTAGCTGGTGTGATTTACTTAACTCTATTCTCTTATTGCCATGGAAATGCGCTCTTACTGTTTCTATTTCAATTAATTATATGGTTTTCACAGGGCTTTATGCAGTTGACGCCATCATCAGACAGGTACTCTTTTTACTTTCCATATATATATATTATTTGTTGATGCTGAACGTGGGTGCTCCTACAGTCTCATACCAAGAATGGCTCGAAGGACGCGTACGTGAAGCGATTTTTGATCCGGATGTCAGACACAATCGCAGCGGTCAAGAAAGTCCCCGAACAGTTTCAGGTTCGAGAAGACCAGGCTGCCTCAATGGGAAAGATCAAAAGGTTGACTTGTTTGTGAATGTGCAGCCTAAGGTTAAGCACGTGATTGAGGAGTGGCAGAAGCGCGCAATTTACACGCCGAGACAGATTGAAGACCTTGGTGGACGGGAATATATGCTCCAGGAGGAGCGCTCGGGGAATGTCACGCCCCGTGCCTCGCCAGGAAAATTAGCGTCACTGCTGTCTATTATCAAGCAGAAGAAGGAGGAGAAAGACCACGCCAGTGACCAACCAGGACGACCTCCGTACGACGAGGCCTACGATACAACAGATAGACACCAGAGAGAAGACACTGCGGCATACAACCACCGAGCTTATGACGAACGACGAGGAACCGATCAGCGCCATGACCGCCGAGATGTCGGCGGCATTATGGGGGATGCACCTGGTGTTCCAGCCGGAAATCGCATGCGCAGAGACCCAGCCGATCGTCCTGGGGGCTTAGATGATCGTGACGTAAAGAAGGCTCGCGGGTCCCGATGGGGACCATCTAAGATGGACAACCAGTCCTCGAACGATAGGCCAGCCCCAATAATTACGTCACTCGACAGAGACGGAGCGTATCATCAAGAAAGTGGCAGACCCGGGTATGGACCCCCTCCGGGTTCATCTCGTCAAGGCCCGTTATTGCAATCTCCTCATGGAGGCCCACCGAGACACGAAGAATGGAATAGAAATGCACCCCCCTCTCATGGTTCTGACACTGGGTGGTCGCATGAAAACGCGCGATCGCCACAATCTGGAGGCCTAAGTAGACAGAATGTGAGCCCTTACGACCAAGGTGGCATGCAACGATCCCCATTTTCTGGGTCCGATGACCGACGGAGCCCTGGGAACCGCATCCCTGGGACTTCTGGAGAGCTCTGTCGCAATTTTCTAGCTGGCAGATGCACGTTTGGCGACCGTTGCTGGTACGGTGATGATTTCACGTCGGTGGATCGATGTGGATTCTGATTCCTTGTATTGTGTTTTGTTTCAGGCACATGCACGACCCACAGACCGCTTCTGCCGCTGTCGGTCGCTCTGAAATGGTGGACAGTAAACGCAAAACTGTGCTGTGTAACAATTTCCCGCTGGGAATGTGTCGCTTTGGAGATAAATGCAGGTACTATTCGATCAGTAGCATTGACGGGATCACTAGTCTTTTTATTCATTTCAATGGACCGACTTCTGATGGTGGACTCCCTTTGTGGGGACCTGTTTTCTGTGAATCTCGTATCAGTTTTGCTCACGGAGAAGAGGAATTAGACAAGTCTGCCCGGTACCCGCCGCCTAGACCCCCTGTTCATGGTGGTGATCAAAGTGGAAGCCGCTGGCAACCGTCGCCGAGTTTGCGACAGGGCATGGAGCTGATCGGCGTCTCGCCTTCTGCTAATGCGCCCACTCCTACCTCTCAAGCTAGATCTTATGGAGCTCCGCAAGTATATAATGAACCACACGGTGATCGCGGCAGTAGAGGAGGTGATTCATCTGTGTCTTATGCTAATGCCGCTGCGCCATCTCCAAATGGGCACAGGCTCCCTCCTGATCACCAGGCTGCCTTAGGGGCACCCCCACAAGGCTACCAGGGAGCTTATACCTCAGCTCCGTCACCGTACGGAGCTGCTAGTGGGTCGACCTATGCGAATCAAGGCTCGCCGTACCCGAGCGGAGATCAAGATCGAAACCGCGTCCCAGGCAATGTCCCCGTTTTACCACCCCCTGCTTCTGGTAGTCAATCGTACGGAGACCAAATTGTTGCTCCGACCTTCAACGCCAAGGTCGTAGCAGACGACGATGAAGGCGAAACAGCCGAACCAGAGTTTACTCTGGAGTACGATGACGAAGACTAAAATGGAGATAATTGACCAGGTTCATTTGTCAAATCACATAGTGGAGCAGAGGTACAACAAGGAGGTACCCAGGGCCAACCAACGAATAGTCAGTGACCACTGATCACAGTATATCGATGCATAACTTTTGAGTCGCAAGTCTCTTGAGTAATTTCAATACACAATTTGCTTTTTACCTTGTACGAAAAGATGCCTTTTTGAGAAGAAAATCAAAGCATTTTTAAATAAAAAGCAACTGACATATTTGATTGGCTGATTCAGTTTTATAAATTCTTCTGTGACCTGATAACGAACACTATGAGGAGCTCAGCGTCTGGGTCGGGTTCCTTGCCCTCATTCTCTCTACGTGTTATGAAACGCGTACTTCAGATGTTTGCAATATGCACAATACTCTACATTGCAGTGGCGATGCAGGCGCCTAGCTCGTTCCTGCAAGGCACGCCAAGTATTTTTCGACTGTCAAAAGGCACCTCGTTAGACAAGTTCGAGCACATGTTCGCTACAAAAACCAAATATTGGGATCAACGCAAAGCTCCCGAAGTCCTGGAAACTGTATTAGCGCTCCCTGGACTTGCTCCTATAAACGACCAATCTCCACGAAGACAGGAATTTGAGCTCATTCAGACGCAACTCGTGGCGCGCCATGGAATTCGGTGGGAAATACTTTTATTTCGTAAAATACAATGTCTTACGAATTTGACACTAAAGTTTTCAGTATTTCTACCTCGATAGGTACCCAACTTTGGGCAATATAAAGGAGATCAATGGCCTTTTAAAGCGACTAAAGCCTTACGAAGATTCGCTGCCGCATTGGATGAAGAACTACACTCTGCCGTACAATAAAAGTGTGGCGGGAGAGCTTGCGGATGCAGGAAAGCAGGAGCTGTGGAAACTTGGTGCTCGCAACCTGGCGAGAAGTAACCACGAAAACCCTGTTAATTACTCGAAGGAAAAATACCACATCAGACACACCTACGTCACTAGGACGCGACATTCCGCTATCGCGTACGTTATTTTATTTTTTTTAAGTAGTGCCAGACTTTTTTTACAGCTCGTGTTTTCTTTCTTTCGTGTGGACAGATTTGTAGAATCATTCTTTGAGAATCCAGACGACGTCGAGTATATCGTGTACCCGAAGGACGAGGTGCGTGGGTCCAGTGTCGCGATGATAAATGTTTGCCTTTTGTATCAACGAGTTTTAAATTCCCAGGATCTTCTGCTGCGGTTTTTCGACCAATGTGCACGCTACCAACGAGATGTCAAGAAGAATCAGACAGCACAACAACAACTGCATGAATATCAAAACTCAAATGACATGACAAAGATTGCGCTTTGGCTAAAGCATTTGCTTGGGTTGAAGAGGGAAGGCATCGAATTCTCACCGAAGGACCTGATGGCCGTGCAATCTGCTTGCGCGTAAGCATCCTAACAGTTTTCTACCATGCTCGAGCCACTAACATAAGTACTATTTATTTGTACAGTTTTGATATCGCACTTTACCACCTCAAACATCATTGGTGCTCGTTGATGTCGATGACTTTCATCCATTCGTTGGACTATCTGGACGACCTTGAGCAGTTCTATTGGATTGGCGGTGGATACAAACTTAACTACGAAATGGCTGCAGCTCTGCTGCGGGAACTTTTCGATTCAATGAAAGGAAAAGTGAACGGCAGTAGCTCATTGGTGGGCAATTTTTTCTTCGCACACGCTGAGACGACGCTCCCTTTGATGACGTTGTTGGGGTATGGGGAACGCTCACATCTGCTGGCAAACTTCACTCAAGCCGAGATCAAATCACGGGGTTTCAGATCATCAAAACTCTCCCCGTTTGCAGCCAATATCGAGTTTCGCTTGTTTAAAAGTAAAACAAATGACGAAGATGTGTACGTCCAAATTCTTGTAAACGAAAAAGAATCCGAGATTCCTGACTGTGGACGCGTGTTCTGCAAGTTGTCGGAGCTGGAAAAGCAGTGGGACTACTACTTGAACACGTACGACTTTACGAAAAACTGTGCGTAAAAGTCTGTTTCTACACTACATTTAGATGTGCCCATTTCGGATTCGCTTTCGCCTTTTCAGCGCGACTGTCAATAGACAAACCCGCAAACGTGAATGGACTCTCAGTCTTCTGACACTGGATCAGCTACACTGCCACCAAATATCTCTACAGGAGAAGAAGTTAGCGCCGTTCAAGGAGACAAGAAGCCACGAGAGGTCATATAATAGATCATTTAGTTATTGCGGTTTTGTATTGACTTTCGTAATCTCATGTAAAATTAAATGCGTAACACTTGTAGGATGAAATCGCGCATAATTTACTGGCTAATGAAGAGCCCTCTGCTGTTTGTGAGCCTCACGCTACCGACACACCGTCGTCTCTTCCTCTTGGCAGCTTCGTGGAGCTCAAACTTGACTACATTTGCGCAGTTTCTAGTGAAGAGGTGAAATATCTGAGGGAGTTTGCCAATGCTGGACAAGTGAACATGCGAGGCAGACTTCACCTCAGCGGTGGAATATCTCAACGTTCAATTGCCACCGCATTTATTAACACAGACACGAAGCATTGCGATCATAAGACGTGCTTTCGCTTGCAAACAGACAAAGGCGTTCCAGTTACCCTCCGATTCGAGCTCAGTCCGGACGTGGCGACAAGTGCGCTACCTCAGCTTTCTCTTGATATCCGTGCGAGAAGATCGCACACACGAGTATTGTCGCTCTGGATAGCGCTGGGATTTTTGCTTAAAAAACTATCGATCGGTATGGAATACCAGTCGAGTTTGCAGCTCCTCGGTGAGCAAGATCGCATTGGTGGGCGTCTTCGAATAAAATTTAGAGGTGGATTCTTGACGGATCTAGAAGATAATGACCGGACGTGGACGACGGTGATGCACCAACCGGAAGCCAGTGTTTTAACTGTAAAAGTAGTCGAGCTCCAGACTGAAGGTAGCAAGTCTCTTTGTTTGGCCCGAATCTGGTCCAGTACAATAGGAAAAATACGTTGCCAAACAATTACACCGCTCCTGGTGGGCGGATCATCTACCGAGAATGGAGAAGCCAAATCTGCGTCACTACAAGTAGCCGATGCAGCTATGGAGATCTTTTTTGTTGGAATTTATCGATACAGTACTCTCGAGAGAAATGAACTCATAGGACTTGGCAAATTCTGTATTCACGCGCTGACACTCCCAGCGGAAGACAACAACTCTCCGAGTCAGTCCGCTGAGCAGTTGGTGCGTTTGTACTCGGAATCTTCCGGCAAAGACAATGAATGTGGATCAGCGCTGCTTTCCCTCCAAATGTCTCGTGTACTTGAAGATAGCAATGCTGAAAATGGTGTATCACTTGCTGCTACCGCTCTTGGTAGTATAGCGTATCCAGTGCAGAATATGGAGATGAAGTGTCAATTCGATATTGATATTCTCGAAGTACAAGCGTTACCGTCAAATATTACAGAAAGTGACAATGTTTCTATCCAGCTTCGTATTGCGCAAAGCAGCTGGAAATCGGAGCTACCCGCTGCTAAGGTTGCTGCGAGTGGTAACGGTACACTGCTTGCCAGGGTGGGTGAGAATGCCAGCACTACTATATGCTGGGCACCGAAAGATAGATCGTTTCCTGTACTTGAAATCTCTGTGTATGCGCAACCTCAACTGCAGAATCGGAAGAGTATGGCGTCCAGGGCTTCGCTAGCATCCACTTCGCAGACGAGAAGACAAAGCTCTAGAGAGTAAGAAGAGTAAAGAAGCTGTAGCTTCCAGTATTGATAGCGACTGGCAGTCTAAACCTCTGCTCTTTCTTCTCACAGCAAAACGTACCGGTACTGGCAGATTTACGGCTTACTGTGGAGAAATCAAGTGTGGAGGATGATTCCATTTTTGAAAAAGTGTCGGTGCTCTCGAGACTACGAGCCACTTCTTTAGAGAATGGCTCTAGGTCGTCTACAAGTCTTGAGTCCTCAAATTATACACCTCAAGCTGTTGTAGGTGACGTGTGCATTCATCTTCTACAAGCCTGTGGAAGTGTTTTCAGGAAAGCAGACTCTCTTTCGAGTTATTATGTATCCATGTCTTGTGGATCTCAGGAAGTACAAAGCAGGTTCGTTGGTACCAAGTACAACGACGACTACCTTAGATACTAATGCTATTGGATGTCTGCGTAGCTGCTGCCAAGGAGACGACACCGGTGCAGTAACATGGAATCAACAGCTAGCTCTTCCAATAACAAGTGATGACCCTCCCGTTATTCACATCACTTTATATCAACGTGGGGTGGATTCAGTCTCACCAATCCTACGCGATAACCCAAGCCAACAACGAAGCGACGATCAAATGATCGGGTACTTGACGCTGCCCACGTTCCCGTCGGTACTTGAAGAAGATCATCTGCTGCAGCTCGAAGTCCCTTTTGGAATGCCATTCACTTTAGAATCAACGAAGCACAACGGCGACCCTCATTACCATAAACATGGGATGCTGACGTTGGAGATGCAATTTCTGCGTAGCGAACAACCCAAAATGGTTTCGTCAACCTCACAAGAAGTTTATGAATTGGTGATCCATCGAGTGCGGGGGAATCTACAGGCCTCAAGTTCTACTCAACACTCTTCTGGCTTATCCAAACATGTAGTTATTGACGTCAGTATCATGGTGGATCGAGATGAGTCAGCAGAGGAACTTGCAGTAGGAGCAACAGACGTTATCTCGATCTCTCCGTCCGGCCTAACGGAAGTGGGAGTGGCTGTCGACCTTAGCAACCCTATGGTTGCAACCACGCTCTCGACTAGCACAAATATTATACTGGTCGGACGAATCCGTGACTTGATCGGAAACAATTACGGCCGTGTTCATCTTCCTCTACGAAAAGATTGGAAAGAAAGGCTGGTGAAGCGGAAGAAGCCTGCGTGGTACCCGGTTTGCGTTGAGTCGAATAAAGGCGACGTCAACGCGACTAAGGACGCAGTTTTGATGAGCTTAAAGATTCGTGAACAGCGTATTCCTATCCCACAATCCAATGCGCAGGGAAAATTTCATGTTAAAGTTTGCGAAATGATCCTGACGTCAGGTTTCGAAAGTTCAAATTTGATGAAACTCGGAGTATACGGTGGAGCCAGTGTACGATTGTCGTATACCTCAGTGAGTGATTCTAGCCTCGCTGTTCACTGTCGCACACGACAATCTACCGACCAAAGCAGCCGTCAACACTGGAGATGGGAAAACGAGTGGTTTGTATTTACCCATTTGGAAGACTGCCACGAGTTACATTTTGCTTTGCAGATTGGGGTGTCAAACGACACCGATCTTGGCGGCAGGATAATGCTCACGTCAATGATTGAAGATGCGAATCTGAGGAGCCATAACCTATGGCTGCCGTTGTCGAACGGACCAACAATTGACGATACGACTGTGAATGCACATCTGCACGTGGTGGTCGCTTATATACCTACGATTGTCGGTACACTCGACATGGAATTCAGTGAAAGCTACACATTTTCAGACTCTGAACGCATTCACGAATGCGTGTTGAGCTCGGATCCACCGAGATTCTGCCTTTTCCAAGTTCTGATCCGTCGTCTCTATCCAGACTGGATCCTCTCTCTGTTGGTCTCGGAGTGGATCCAGCTCCTGTGTTAGGTCCTCTTCTGACGTCATACCACTTGGATCCCTTCGTGGATCCGA